AGAGAAAACATTCAGCGTCAAGCAACGTGCTTCATCCAGTCCAAGTATATTCAGGAACTGCAATTTTCAGTAAAAATTCCATCTAATATCATTGTAACAAAACTCGAGTAAACAAGGGAAGAAAAACTGGAGGCGAGACTTTGCTACGCCTGTTTTCCGCCCGACCATTTACAAAGACGTTCAGTAGCAGTGCGTTTATAGTCTACGTCAGTTTTCTCAGCGACTAGGAAAGAACGTCAGCGTACACTCAGAGCGCTAGGCCGATACTTATATTTTCCTAGTCGTTAGGAATGCTGACGCAGGCTCAAAACGCAGTCGCAAATTATGAACGTATTCCCGGCTCTGATTGGGATGAGGCTGAGCACGAGAAGCGGAAAACGGCGCAGGTTAGACCCTGTGCCATTCAAGTTGACCGTACCTGAGCGAAATACTCGTCCGTTTGTATAGATCTTGGTCCAAAATTAACGCAGTTGAGTTCCTCTGTCCACGGTTTAACTGGCTGCGGTTTCTAGAAAATCGGTTAATCTTTGAAAAATTCGCTTCTGTAGTACATAACGCCCTTTAATAATGTTACCTTGTATCTGAGAGTCCCTACAGGCGGTTCAGCATACGGGATCCCAAGGTACATGTCGACGGCACGGCCATCATGTAGAAGATATTCTCGCCCACGAACTGGACCTGACGAAGTGTTCACGAGAGGGGATCGACCCGTCGACGCACCAGCGCCCATGTGACGACGCTGGAAAAATAACACTGAGCCTAGAATTGGGCCAATTTGAGAAGCCGAATGAGGTGTAAGTGGCCAGAAAAGGCAACCTCCTGAGAATAGCAAAGAGGTTTATCGACGAGGCACAGCAACAGGGTAAAGACGAGAGTTTATTCTTATGCAACAGTGGGGCTATCTAATGTAAGCCCATCACAATAAACACATTATCATTCCAGGTCTTCATAATAACGGCTGGTCAACTATTGAGAAGAATCGATATGGCCATGACGCCAGATGTAGACGTTTAGGAAGGCGCTCGGGTCTATAATGCTATTTCAAAACATGGGCGTGAAAATGTTGACAGTTGGGGGTGTTGTGCTCATTAGAGTTTTCGATTATTATGCTTCGAACCACATAGAGTCATTGTCCCTGCAGGGTGTGAGGTGGTGGATTGGAGCGTAGCCCGGATAGCCCTCCATAGCGCTTAGTGGAGCATCAATTGTTGGAAACTTCTTCCCCGCCGTCCTCCAGTCCAGGTCGCTCACAGCTTTCCCGTTTGCAGGGATAATGACATGTCGACGGCACGGCCTCATCCCTCCCACGCAGGGTACAGCATCTTTGGGAAAGTCCCAGTTGGGTCGCACTTAGTCGCTGAAAAGAAGGGTGAGGGTCGTATCGGCGCAGTTTGTCGACGGGGGGGCATTCGGCTTTTCATAGATGTGCCGACCCATCTAGGTAGCCTTTTCTCGAGTTGACACGTTTTAGGATGGTGGCTAGACGATCTTACTTCAGCTTCACAGGCGTTTACAAGTTTTACCATGGTGAGATTCGTAAACCGGAACTAGGGAAGCAATGTTAGTACAAAATGCCCCCCCCCGTCGCTAAACAGCGCCGGTCGTATCCGTGTTCGAAAAAATGTCATCCGAGTCGCGAGAAAATTTTTGCTTGTTGGCTTTTCCGAGTTTTTCCGTTTCCTGTTGCATGCTCGCCATACACTTACACCCTACCCCTCCGCCCCACCTCCACCGTTGCTGGGGCCGCAAAATTATAACTCAAGTACTATTTCTGATAATTATAATTAGTGGTGACCATGACTCCCCTCCCCCTCCCCCACCCTCCGCTCAACGGCAGTTTTGTTTAGAGAAAACTGGAACTTTTTGGAAAAGCGATAGGGATTTATTTGGAAGATTTGGAAAGATGGTAAGTAGGATAGGGAGGTGTGCAGTATCCGTAGCAAATGAGGAAATTTCGGAGGGGAGGGGGGAGGGGTTCTACTGACCCGTCGTTTCACAGATCACCATGCTGTAACCTGCTCTCATGCATGTTCAAGTGGCGAAAGTGGTACATCTGTGCGACTGCGATCCTGCTTTTATAGGAAGGAGACATTGTATTTCTCGACCCGTCGAGGACAGATTGAGATAGAAAAGTATGCTTTAGAGAGCTATGTAAAGCCACGTAGAAGCTTAATTCCATTTCCGACAACCAGGAACATCGCCTTCTAACCTGACGGTAAATAAACTAGACAGCAAGCAAGTCAAGTGCTACTGAGAATGATGGAAAAACTGTTATCCAGTAAGAGTCGAAATCCAACAATTCAGCTGCAGACAAGTTCAGATAGCATATGCAGATGGTGACAGCAATTGGACTACTATCCATGACACGAAAGTAATTCTCTCCTACTTAGCGATCTTTAATCACTGAACTAAGAGAAGTCACCTGCCCGACGGTGATAAAAGACTGAAAGATCAGTTTCGCGTTGCAGAGTCTGCACATACGTAATGGCATCAGCTAATGAGCTACTGCCGGACAGCCACGATATTCAGTGGACTAATGGTGAGAGGAAAAAACGTTAGTTGTGATTTTCAAGCAACGGCATTAGTACACGTTCTTGGAAGCAGCACGGATGTGGCTTCGAACAGGGTATGTGACGGCAGGACCACGCAGTGTCGCGTTCGACAACTGCAAATACCGTAGGGTTAAGATTGGCACGCGCTCTGGATTGTCATCGCGACGCTGCTATTTTTTGACAGGACA